AGCAGACATGGAGCAACATTATCATCACATTGTTTTTTCTTCATCTTTTTTAGTCTCTGCACCAACAAAATATCTAGGTTTCCTGCCAATTTGAAGTCCTTGGCTTAGACTGTTCTTCTGGTCAGACTTTATGCTTTGTATAGTTTTCTAATAGTTTACTACTGACTGAACGATTATTCATTTAGTCAAAACAATAGTCAATAGAGGCACTGATCATTTACATTGAATTTGCGCCCTATTCCTCATAGTTGCATAATTTATTGTTAATATAAAACAAATTGAGGCTTTGTGAGACTCATAGTAGGAGCAGGAACACAACGGAAACATGCATGTCAGTCTGACCCTTTCAGTAATCACCCTCTTGACAGGCTCTGTCAAAATAAGTGGTCCATCAAGAGACACAGACACTGGCACAGAAACACACATGGTGTTCATTTTACACACATAAACAAACTTTAGTAATGGGGTAAATTCGCTCAGTGGAACATAGTCTTGTAGTACAAGACTGTAGTAGTGTTGTAGTACTCTGTAACGCACACTCATGTATATATAATGATAAGCCAAACATGTATGCATTCGGGTCAGACAAACGCACCCTGAGACAATGCATCAAATTCTGGCTGCTGTTACTGGAGCACTCTTTACACTTTCTCCTCTCCTTTGCACACTCCTGGAGCCTGACTGGAAATATGAACCATACAGGACACGTTGTCATAGTCCAAGGGGGATTCAAACGTAATCTGTGAGAATAATAGGTTTCTGTTTAATGTTCGGTTTTAATATATAATGTGACCACTGTTGTGATATAGTTTGTTCAAATACATTGTAGTCGAAATGTTTTAATATTTGGTGCTTTTTCAATATTCTTGTGTGGATAACCTTCCACATAATGTAACATAACGGGCAAATGTATTCTTTGCAGCCGTTGATGTAACGTAGCTCTACTTGATATGGATAGCATTTTTGTTTTACTACGTTCTTCCCCTCCATGTGCGGCAGTGAGCCTAAATGATGGTTTGAATAGAGTTTGATATGTTTGAATAATGCCATCAGTTGGAAGGTAAAACACACACACACACACACCAACACACACACACACAACACAACACACACACACATACACATAGCTTGGTAGATTAATATTTGTACCATGAGGGAAATGCAGTCATACACACAATTTATTCATGTACTTAGGTTGTACTTGAAAAGTCACAAAAAAGTCTTGAAAGTTTTGCTCATAAATGTGCTGCATGGGCTGAAGTGGAAATGGTTTTGGTATAACTATTGAACTGGTTGAATATTTAAATTACTCCAAGCTACTTTAGTAAAGACCTTTATTAACATTACTCTGTAAAGGATTTGTATCTGACTGGCGAGCTGTTTTTTCTCAGACAAAGAACACAGTCGTTGTCATTAGGTTCATCTATATCCTTGTGGCAGCAGATGTTCAGACAGCATCATGGAAAGTATCTGTCTGTTGTTGTCATCTCCCCCCACCCTGTGGCTTATTTCCTTCATTGCAGGTTAGGGCTAATTCTGCCTGTAGTGTCATGTGTAACCACCAGAGGTCAGAACGTAACAGGAAAAGTATTCATGTGTGAACTACTTTTTGTGAATGGGACTCTGTGAAGTTTAGTTTAATGTAAGCTTTGCTCGCAGTTTCTCCCTCTCTCTGTCTCTTTGTCTCCCTTAGTTGCCGTACAGATTGTGAGTCAGCTGTTTTGGAATCACACCTATCATGTGAGATGTTAGCAGTTGCAGTCAAAAGCATGTGCACTCACAGAATGGAAACAGTCTGCACCTGCTCGGCGCCCTATAACTACTATGTTATATTTTTGACATCCTGCCATCTCATGTCAGCAAGCATTACATCATTCGAAAGTAAATGTTTTTCTTCATTGGGGTCTTCACGGGGGTCTTACATTGTATTTTTGTCACAATGATGAACTATTACTCTCACTATAAATAGTTTTATGACCATGCAGTTCAAATAGTGAGTGTTGGTTCAGTGCGTGTACCTTCTTCACCAATTTTCCTACAAATTTGCAGACAAGTTTCAAGACACTGGAAAAGTTTCAGCATCTTATTTGGACCCGTCACTGTTTCTTGTAACCTGGAAACATTTATTTAATTTAGAGTTGTTCTAGTACTCACGTTTTTGCCCAAAAGAAATCTTTTTTCTTCGTCTTTTTTGGCTGTCTTTGTCAATATTTTCTCATTATTTGGTCATTTTATGCACTGTTTCATCTAGGTATTTTTGTAACATTGTAAATTTTTGTCATATATTGTGCTTTGGTCCATGGGTCCACATGGAAAATGCCATGTGCCAGATTTGAGAGTGAACATAGCGACCCTTGTTGCATGTCATACCCATTACTCTCCCCTGTGCCCTGTCTGTCCCTGTCCAACTACAATGAGGCAAAAATGACCCCTCCAACGTGCAATACAAAAAAGCAAAGAAAAGCAAAGAAAAAGAAAAATAAAGCATACGCCAGATGGACCAACAACAAAGTCCTGACCTCATTGTTATAGTCATGCAGTCATTGGTACATGGCAGTTTGTGAACTTGATGTGAGTGTAAACAGTACCCACCTCAAAAGGCAGATTTCGTTCTTGCAGGAACAAAAGAAAGTGAGGAGTAGGGTCAGTATAGTCAAAGGTAAACTTCCACACCCAAAGTACACGTAGTGTTGAGCTCAATGTATACCAAAGCTCATCACTAGTGTCTGACAAGATGTGGCCCACCGCTACAAAGCAACAATATTACCAGTAATCTGTCTTAACAAAACTTCAGCTTCATGAAACTGGAATTAACACATAAGCATTAAACCAAAGTAGCACACCAAAAGGTTGTCTTTTAAACAAAATGTCTACAAGCTAGCCAAAATGGGGAAAATACACTATAGCAACAGCAGAGTACATTAAAACAAAACTAATCAAAGCATGATTTGCAGCACTCCTAAACTTCTAGGCCAAGCTTCCACATTGTAGACACAAAACCTCAAAAAGGTCACAACTTCCTCACTGCAGTTTTTCTTCCTCACCTACAAAAGACAGACAGATACTCACATAATGGAAACACAGCGTGCACCTGCTCTGTGCCCTATAACTCTACAGTATATATATGGTACTTTTGACATCCTGCCATCTCTGTTACGGAGCATTGACAATATATGGAAGCACATCACCATCATTTTCTTTATTGGGCTCTTCACTGGGGTCTTCACTTTTATTTTAGCAGTGTAGTCACAATGATGCAATCCTTCTAAACTATTACTCTTACTATAAATAGTTATAGGGCCATGCTATTCTGTGCCTGGGTGTGCAAATAGGGCCTTCAGTATGTGTACCTGTCACTCTCACTCTGCCCTAAGCTCTGATCTCTAATATAGGTTTTGCATGATTCCTACACTTGTGCACCAACTATTTTCTTTCACTTTTATAAGTTTCAAAATGTCTTATTTGGGTCCTGTCACTGTTTTCACAAAAACAATGATTTAATTCCAAGTGAGTCAAGTTTTCGAGTAATTCAGTACTCCCGCACACTATTTTTCCAAAAAACTAATTTCTTTCCTGTTTTGTAAGTTTCGATATGTCTTGTTTTGGCTGTCTTCGCCCATATTCTGTGATTATTTGACCAGTTTATACATTTGGGGATTTTGTCATCTAAACTGCACACCACCCAGTT